ATAATAATTTGTCGATCGATTGACGTTTTCGTCTTTCGATAGAATCCAAATCCTCCGGCTGACCTGCTCCTGTTTTTTAATGCACTGAAAAAAGAACACATTGGATCTAGAGTCCAGACTCTTGAAAACATTGACAAGAAAAAGGTTTCTTGATTCTATCAGATTTACGCTTAAATCAAAAGGAAATCCGCTTAAATTAAGAGGCTTGGTTCTTGATTTAAGCTTAGATCTGATTGAAGCAAGAGTCCTTTTTCTTGTCGATGTTTTCAAGAGTCTGGTCTCTAGATCCAATGTGTTTTTTTTTTTTTTTTTTTTTTTTTTTTTTTTTTTTTTTTTTNTTTTTTTTTTTTTTTTTTTTTTTTTTTTTTTTTTTTTTTTCTAGTGTGAGTATCGACAACCCTGACAGGTGTTGGAGGGAGGATCTCACCTGGGCTGATGATCCCATTCACGAGGCGGGATGTGCGATACGAGGCGATCGGGGCGCAACGGCACCGCGAGCATGAATACGAGTCCCACCAAGCGGCACACGAGCACACAAAGCTCTCCAACACGCACGCTCCGCTGAAAAGCTCCTTCGCAAGCTCGCAGCGCGCGGCCGCAGCCGCATCGCGAGGCCATCATTCGCCGCGGTAATAACTCACCACTCAACGCCCGCTCCCGCTGTTGCCATCGGTTTCATCAGAAATGACATATGTTAAGCAATCCGAATTGCTATTTCCCCCAAAGTGTAAAAGTTACTTTGGAGAGTCAACGCTCACTGAAAAAAAAAATTCGTTCGTAAAGTTCGAAGTTCCAAAGTTCCAAAGTTCGGTCGTATGAACTAGTTCGGTTTTTCATATCATCCCAACTATTTGGTTCGTCAAACCAAATTTTCGGTTCGTCAAAACCTAATTTGTGTGGTTGTAACCTATGTGTACCCATAATGTAAGAACTGAAGTTTCAGATGTGTGATCCAAACCTCAGCAGCTGGACCTAAAAAGTTCAGATGCTCAATCCGAAAACTTGAGAGATCCATATGACCTAAACTTGGGGCTCCACGCACGAAGTTTTTTTCTACGTATAAAGAAGCAACATTTTTACATGACGGTAATCGCGCTGGTTCATTTTTGCTAAATGCGATCCAGATTACGTGGTGGAGCTTTGGACGTGGCGCTGTCTGCCGGGAAGGGCCGACACTAGCATCTTCAAAAGTCACGTTGATTGTTCCTAAACGCTTTAAGAGCGGCTCAGTCCCATTGAAACAGTGCTCGATGAGACGTAAAGTAGCTTGGCGAGGCTGCGGCTGGGAACAAATCAAATAAGAATAGCCGCAGTGCCGCGCGGAGCGGCCACCAAGGTAACGTTGCCGCCCCTTGGCGGGCCCCCCGAGGGGACCATTGTGAGAAGTGGGATTTTCCCGCGGAAAAGGCAACTCGGCACCGCGATGCCCACTCATGGACCATCGTCGGCCGCAATCATGCGTAAATGTAAATGAACTATTTACTCTCCTGCCCGGACTCCCGTTGAAGCTCCCCATTGGTCGCTTCCGCCTCTTCCCACCCCCTCCGGAGGCCGGTGAAAAATTTCACGCCTTGTTCAATGCCCTCGACCGACTCCGAGTCGTGGAGAGCACCTAGCCACGAAAGTTTAAGTCTCTGCCTGATAAAAAACACTCAAAAGAGACAAACTCGGTTTGGTTACCACTATGCCTGGTACTTATTGATAATTGGCTGAATTATTGATAACTTAATATTGATAACTTATTGGCATAATTTCGCTGTTTCCCTGAAAATCTGAGCAGGAATTTTTCCGTTTCCGGGAACTGGAACTTTTTCCGCGGAAGTTTCCGAAAAATCCTAGCTAAAATCTCTTTTTGTGGACTATGATATAAAATATGAAAATATACAAACATGCTTTTTACGCGATAATTACTCATACTTCACATACCGATGATAAACACCGCGAACTTATTTTAATGCGTAAAAAAAATTGGTCAAATATACGAGAGCTCAGTAACAGTACCAGGATTTTTACTCGATGTACTAAAATAGATGTGCGGCATTAAGTGAACAAGCGTTGCGAATTCACGCTTCCCGACATCGCGCCTTCAATTTTGCAGATGCAACACGGACATCCATCAAGCACAAATAGTTGTATCTTTGCGCCGTCATGAACGAGCGGCTTCAACAATGTTAAGAAGCAGTCTAAAAGGCGTACGTATAAAACTTGTCATTTTGTTGGGAGTAAAAGTATTTATAAAAAAAGTATTTCTTACTTCGAAAACTATCGAAAGTATAATGTACTTAAATGCGGGTCAATTTGACTCGGCTTGCAATTTTGTGTAGCAAAAAAGTCTTAGGCATCTGAGGATTAATGAATACGGCAGAAAAATTAGCAAATTTCAGCGTCCGTATAGGTAACTCGTTTCACCAGGATAAAAAATAAAAGATAATTTCACGAATGTCATTTAAACATTATCAAGCTAAATTGAAATTTTCACAAACTGTTTGCGAAAGACGTACGAGTCGTATGGACAGTAAGTTGGAATTTTTTAGCCAACGTAAGTTAAAAATCCAGAAAACTGGAAGTCTCAATGCAGAGGAAAAAAGCTTATTCGAGCTCAATTTCCCCTCAAACAGATACGCTGTTTTTACGCTGAAATTTTCAGAAGCAAAATCACAACTTTCAACTCCGTTTGGCAACAAAGATGGCCGTGCCCGGTGCCGGGAAATACAGTAGCGTCAACAGATGGGATCGAAAAGTTAGTCATTTCACGGGAGAATCGAAGGGGGACAAAATGATTTTCGGGGAAAATCTGGCAAACGACAGAGGAAACCGGGTCTTGCGTGCGTCGCAAGATGGAGATGGTATCAGAGGAACGACAAGCCGGAATTACTTTTCAACGGCTCATTTGTTTCGATTTTTAGTGGTTTCAGAATCGCTTCGGCGACGCCCTCCACCCCCCTCCGGCCGCGCTAACAACCCCCCAAAACCCCCACCCATACCACTATCCTAACTCGATTCACTCACTTTAAGACTTTATTGTGGCTACACCGACTTTCCTCGGGTATGGCCAAGTTCGAGGACGGGAAAAGTAAAGTTGGAGGTATTTCTGTCAAACGGAACTATATGCATTAAGCCATGAGCCCTGAGAGCCATAAGAATATATGCAAAACAGGGCTCACGTCATGATGCACATAGTTCCGTTTGGCAGAAATACGTCCAGTTAAGCAAGTCTGAAAACCAGATCTTTGCAGTAACTGTAGAAGTTTCGGGGGAAGTATGGTGAGTATTTCGAGAAATTATCCTTATCACGTACTTCCAGGACTAAAAGTGTGTGCTAGTAAGGTTATGTACTTCATATAGAGTGCGACTATCCACAGATGAATAGACGTATTTATGAGGAGGCAAGTGTTTTTCGTCGAGAGTTTCTCTTCAGTTCTTCAAGAGTAAACAATACAAGCGGTTGAGATAGCTATTGTGCCATAGAGAGTATGTAAATTAATTTTAATCCGAAGATTTTGAGAGCTGAGATCTTTGAATGGCTTTTGCCAATCGCTATCTTCGCACACTGGACCGAATCAATAGGAGAAGTCAGACAAAATCTGGAAGCTTTGAAAGCTTGTATTTTCGAAAATATAAAATTAAAAAGTTTAAAAGTGGTTTCATTTATTTTTTCATGTAATTTTCTCTCAGAAACACCGCTTGAAATTGAATTTGTGACAAAATAAACTTTAAATTTTGAAATTATAGCCCACAATTCCATGTGCGACCTCTTCTATTAACTCGTTCCACTGTGCCACTGTGCGCCACGTTTGGAACTTCAACTTCAAAGCACCTTTACTCAGATTTGTTTTTTGGCATTTTGGACGTTTTCAAAACTCACCAAAGCAGGTGTGCAAAGTTCCTTTTCCCCTTAACGTTCACTAATTAGAGATAATTTTGTTAGTTATCAATGCGAGATGAACTTGAAAACCTCTAAGGAAAAAGCTCTCAACACCGTATGAGGCGTCAAAATTCTAGGATCTGGACCTGGATCAAGGCCTTCAACTAGTCGCCGTCTGCGTCTGATAATAAGACAGCTGAACGGTGTTGCGCGACTGTGAACGTGAAGACCTAATGGACTCCTTGTTGCGATAAGGAAATGCTGTTTCTGACTCGTTTTAGAAACACTTTATTCGCCATCAGTTTGCAAATGCAGATAGGTGATTTTATGAATGCGCCGGAAATAGTGGCTCCGTGTTGCAAAATTTAGCCCGAATTGATTTTGATTGTTTAAAGAAAACCTATAAAAGTCCCGAATGAATTACAGCCTTTGTACAATTGTAAGATGATGTATAGAAGTCGACGCTCATTTTAAAGCTAGAAACAATGGTGCCAAAGTTACTTTAACAATTTTACGACACCTCAGATCATTCTGCAATAAATTTTCAGTCAATTTTCGATTAATAACGTAGGCTCAAAAATGCATTAAAAGAAGAAGAAAACAAATTGGAAAATCACATTATTTTAATTATGATATGACAGGCTTTTTGCATTATTGTATCAGTGAATATCAAAACTAGAAGGCTATGATACGAGAGAAACTTGGAAAACACTAGTTTTAACAAAAATTATTCTGTTCCAAGTCATCCGTCATCTTTCAATCTGCGAGTCCGTGTTAAAAAATTCGCGGGAAAAAATACTGAAATTATAGGAAAAATTGCATCATTTTTCGCTAGTATTTATGTATTTCTCTTTTTTTTCTCTTGTTTTCTTTCATTCAGCCCAAGCAAAAAACTGTATTTAACTGGACTCCAAAACATCCCATAATTAGTCATTGCTAGGGCTAAATACTCTTCCTTAATGAATTAAGATTCCTATCGATGAAATTACCAATCTCAATGATGACTCTTCTTGAGATTCGACAACAATGCGAACTTTGAATGATTGATGATTAGCATACAGCGTGGCGAAGCGCACTGCGGCGCGACCATACTTAAAAACAAATACAAGATTCTTAAGTGTATATGAGTTAGCAATTGAGAATATCATGTCAGTCAGTCAATCGTCTTCAGCCGAGACGCAAAAAGTGTTTGTCGATAAATGTGCACCTTAGCCTCCGTAATACGGGGAGCAAGATTAGTTGAGTAAGGAATAATCAGTGATTAAGACGAATCAGTCACGCAATACAGAATACACGATACCTAGGATACATTCACGTCAGGTCAGTGGTATTTTGTGAATTTCATGGAATGGGAGAATCACATTTTTGATACCTCCCAATTTACCAAAACATTATTAATAAAATACTTCATTTTAGAAAATCTTTGAAAGAAGCCCTGAATTCATACACGGAAATACAATGGAATCGTTTTGATAAATAATCTTAACAACCAAAATGAAGATCTTCGAGTAAGAGTCAATGATTTCAGGGGCCGATCGGGCAAAACGATCGAACTTAAGTGAACTTGGGATAAAGTATGACACCTCGTGAGTCTAGGGCTTGTGATTGGCCGGCAGTGCACCCTCCAGCTCATCAACGGCATGATGTGCCTACAAAATTTAGCCCCTGACCTTAGGTGGAAAATAATAAACGCAAGCAAAACCAGAGGCCCTTTCAACAAAATCTGATACTGGGTCTGTCATTTCTCTGGAAACAGATACTTATATAAGTTACATGGCAAGCGATGAGACACCTATCGGAAATTTTCGGACTAAAATGCACATACTCGTTAGTATTAGATGTATTTTGGCGATGCTATGCGTGCGTAGAGTCCGATTTTTCCTCTTAATTTTCGTAACATGGGTAGCACAAAATTTTCCCACTATAAGTTGGTTTGGCTGGGATCGTAGAGATATATACGGCTATTGCCAAAAGTCCCATCCAATTTAACGTCTCCATCTAAAACGTAATATTTTCATAGTTTGCATATCAGAACCTGAGCTGCTTTTTGCTTTGGCGCAGACCTATTGGGTTAAAACACGTACATCAAGTTCAAATGATCGTATGAAATCGCGTGAGAACTTGACATTGACAAACAATGATCTAATTGTTGGAGTGTTTTGTGGCGATCAAAGTCCATAATTACACCTCTTGTTATTGGAGCCAAATTGGAGCCTCCGTGATTCCGAATACAGAGTCTCCAGAATCTTCCAGCGAATTGCACCTACTTCGACCCCCCTGACGCCAATCAATCCACAATTTAAGCTGCCACTTTTACTGGGGTCTGGAAGACCCATTCGATTAAACTAGGATTGATCATCTATCGTACGAATAAATTCAAAGACAGGAACCGAAGTCTTTCGGGTGATACAGGCAGTCTCTTTCCATTTTCTGAATGCTATCCAGTTGCCACCCTTGCATGTCATTCCCAGATCGTCACTCATCTGACGTAAGGGCGTATCTCGAGTTCCCCGTGATCCTTGTTCTCCGTATAATTCTATGCTTTGCGGGAATCACGTAGAGATAGAGATACGCCCTTACACCAAAGGAGCGACGAAATGACGCCCCAGATACATCTGCGGGCCTATTATTGAAATTGATAGACAAAGCTATAGACAAAGAAGACAAAAGGGATATGGAAGGATCCTATTGGTGGAAAAGGGTGGTCGCAATTGACATAGGTGGTAGGTTTTAGACTAACTGACGGCAACCCACGAGAGAGCCTATAGTTATTCCATCAGTTTCTCCCTTACACTGGAAAAAAAAACACATTGGATCTAGAGTCCAGACTCTGAAAAAAATCGACAAGAAAAAATACTCTTGATTCAATCAGATTTAAGCTTAAATCAAGAACCAAGCCTCTTAATTTGAGCGGATTTCCTTTTCATTTAAGCTTAAATCTGATTGAATCATGAGTCCTATTTCTTGTCAACGTTTTCAAGAGTCTGGACTCTAGATCCAATGTGTTTTTTTTTCCAGTGCTTTGTCTGTGACAAGCAACCATTTTAACCAATAGGATCGCCCCATACTCTCTACATCTTCTTTGTCTATAGCTTTGCCTATCAGTTTCAATAATCAGCCGGCTAGCGTGCGACTAAGAACTAACCTTCCTCCTGACCTTTTTTTCCAGAAGATCGACGGAGCATATTTTCCAGGGCCCAGGATGGACGTGCTGAGCCTGAACTCGGTGCTGGTGGTGACGACGGCCCTGCTGCTGGGGTGGCTGGCGGTGCGGGACAAGCTCAACTACTGGGCCAAGCGGGGCGTCCCTTACGTGTCGCCGTGGACCTGCCTCACGGGAACGCTGGCCTTCTTGTTCAAGACGCAGGCCATGTACGAGTCGTTCGTGGCCCAGTACGACGCCCTCGATGGCCACCCCTACGGCGGGACTTTCCAGCTGCTCAACCCCTCGGTCATGCTCCGGGACCCGGCCATGATCAAGGAGTGGCTCATCAAGGGCTTCACAAACTTCCACGACCGCGGCCCGGAACCCGACGAGAAATTGGACAAGCTCAGCGGGAACCTCTTCCAGCTCACCGGCGACAAGTGGCGCCTCGTCCGCCAGAAGCTTTCGCCCATCTTCAGCACCGCTAAGCTCAGGATCATGTATCAGACCTTGAAAGGGTACGTCCGCCACTTAGCCATTCTTTTTAGAATGGAGATGTTGCATGTGTGAGGAATTTGCGATTTGACTGTTGATTCTCGTGTAAAAGTTCGCGAGAAACACGATGGTACCACTGGTTTCCTCTGAAATCAACTCCCAAGCTCAAAAAAAGCTCTCAAAGTGAGGCCAAAATGGAGGGGATATCACACGCTATCCTGAGAGTCCACGTCTACATCAAGACAAACTCTCCATGCAAAGATAGGGAGAAAATACATTAGCAGGGTTGCCGTGTTTTCAGTTTTGGAGTCCCCAAATGAAGTGGCAGCCCTGTCAATGTATGTGCTCCCTATCTTTGCATGGAGAGTTTGTTTTGATGAAGAGGTGGACTCTCAGGGTAGGGCGGGATATCCCCTCCATTTTGACCTCAATTTAAGAGCTTTTTTTGAGCTTGGGAGATGATTTCAGAGAAAAGCAGTGGCACCATCGTGTTTCTCGCGAACTTTTACATAAAAAACAACAGTCAAATCGCAAATCCCTCCCACATGCAACATCTCCATTCACTTTCACACACTCTCTTCAGCGTCCAGCCCACGTTCAAACTAGGGACTTCGAAGAGGCTCATCGATGAAACTGTTGACTGTTGCTTTTCCAAGATCGGCGGCCCGACGATCTTTGAAGGTAACCGATGTGTTTGGGATACACCACAGATCAGATCTAGAAATTTTCAAGGAATTCCGTGCAGAAATAACTGAGAAATAGAGGAATTGGTGCCAGTTTGAAAGTGGGCTGGACGCTTTCTGGTAAATATACGTATCGTTGCAAGTTTCAGCACGTAAACTTGCACTGAAAAAAAAATGTGGTGGGCTCAAGCATGCTGATTCTTGAATTTGCCGCCAAGGATTGTTTTTATCTTGATTTAAGCTGAAGTTTTCTTGATACAAGAAAAATAATGTTTGGGTTAGGCAAAAAAGCAGGCGATCTTAAGCAGCGAAATTCTTGATTTAAGAAAAAGTATACTTCTTGGCGGCAAATTTAAGATTTTATTTTTCAGTGTGAAAGACAGGATGGGAGAATAGTGATGAGCTCACACTATTCTGAAGGGCAATCAAAGCCAGAAATACCAAAAATTAGAATTAGGTAAAAAAATGGACTTTGCTTGGTTTAAGTGCAAAATCCGGAGGTGGGAAGAACCTATATGGCTATGATTCGACTTACCATTCTACAGTCCATACATGTTAACAACTATCGATGAAGACATTTTACTCTGGAAGTTATTCTTACCTGGAGCAGAGAAAAAATAAATCACAGTTAGATAAAATTTTCTTTAAAAAATCGAAGAAGAGATTTCGAAAGTTTCGCAAGTATAACGAAGATGTATTGAAAGTTTTTCCATGGTCATTCAGAACATGAGCCCTTCCCTTCTAAGACTCGGATATTTCGCAATTTTTAAAGTTCCTGAGTCCTGAGTCCATTTTAACTTTTTGCATTTTTTTTACACCGTCAAACATCACAAAATAGTTAATCTCCCGTTTGCAGCATAAAACAGAGCAATAGAGCTCGCTTTCAAGTCAGTCAATGATGTCAAATACAACGCTCCGGCGACCGATTTGCTACCGGGTCTCTAGCGATACCAAAATAAATTGATTACATTTTGCAATAAGGAACCACTATCTCTGGCTTTCTCGTAAGAGCACGTCCTTGCATAGGGAAACCAATGGCATGTTTGTTGTTTCTAAAATGAGCTAGAAATTGTGGTTCCTTATTCTGCCGTGCTAAGGAATAACGCCGTATGAACATTCGAGAGTTGCCAAATTTCCTGCGATAAAATTTTTATTTTTGAGGAAAGTTATGAATATTTCTCCTTGGAATTTTTAGGAACTTCAGGTAAAATTGCGAACAAAATTATCTGAAAAATTAGAAGGAAAATAATCACCAGAAAATTCGTGTTTTATCCCAGGAAATTTGGCAACGCCTGAAGGTTCATACGGCGTTCTTCCTTAACACGGCAGTATTGCAAAATGTAATCGAAATGACGAGACGTCATGGCCCAGGGACTTAGAAGGCTACGTAACGTTTCAGATGCGCAGAGGAGTTGAACGCCCACCTGCAGGCGCGCTGCCAGGCGACGGGAGAAACGGAGCTGGACGTCAAGGACTTGGTGTCCAACTACACGATGGACGTGATAGGGGCCTGCGCCATGGGCATCAAGTGCAACGCCATCCAGGACCCGGAAAACTGCACCATGAAGAAGGTCGTCAAGCGGATGTTCCGCTTCAACTGGAGGCTGTCCCTCTTCCAGTTCCTCGAGATGGCCGACCCGCGGCTTCCGAGGCTCTTGGGACTGTCCCCGAGGGACAAGGAGGTGGAGGGATATCTCGAGGAGATCACCAAGGAGGCCATCCGCATGAAGCAGCAGGACACCACCGGCACCAGGAAGGACTTCCTCCAGCTCCTCATGAAGTATAGCGAGGAGGAGGGCGCCGAGGCGGCCAACGGCGAGGCCCAGTCCAAGGAAATTGCCAATGGTGACGCCCAGTCGAAAGAGATTGCCAATGGCAACGCCCAGTCCAAAGAGATTGCCAATGGTGACGCCAAGGCTATGGAACATGAAGGTAAGGGGTCGTTCATAAATGACATGAGGGTCCTAAGGGGAGGGGGGCTCAAGGGGTGCCTGACAAGGGGAAGGAGCTGGGCTAAACCTGAAAAAGGGTTTTCATGAACAATTGGACTGCATCTTACGATTTGGAACTATAAATTCTGGCTCTTCTGGAAAAAACACTTATGTGCACGGAAAAAACGAGCTTAGGGTTGGGACCTACATGTTAGTGCTGGGCACTAACGAGGGTTAGGTCAAATGGAGCCAGCAAGTCAGAGGAGTGCTGGGCACTAAACAGCTCGAGGCTGGGTCACTAAGGAAGAAGTAGTGTCAAGCCCTAAAGTGACTTCGGAGCGAGCGTAAAATATGAAACGCCTCCGCCTGGGATCGAACTCGAGGTGCGCCGGTGGAAGACCAGCGCGTTACCACCAGGCTATGGTGGCTCCGACGTCTCATGGGTGAATTTACACCTGTTAAGCGCAACTACGTCTCGCGGCATCTGATTAGCACTACTCATGTTCAGTGTCCACCTGAACTGCCTTCCGGTGTTGAGCTGTACAGCGCTTAGACGCCAGCCCTCAACTACTCCCCACTAAACGGCCAGTAGTGCTCAACACTAGTCTTGTTTTTTCCGTGTGCATAAGGAAACTAATGGCTCATACGTTGTTTTTAAAACGGGCTAGAATTTATAGTTCCAAATTGCAAAATGTAGTTCAATGGGCCTGTTGCAAACTTTTGCTAGAGCAAAAATAAGAGTTATTTCTTATAGATAATGCCTAAAAAATCACGATGAGCGCATCGACAAAGTCTGAAATGCACTCATAACTTCACAATCTGCGTAAGAAATTTGCGTTTTTTTAAGCTTCCCGCTTCAAAAACGATACTACGGCACAGGTGAACATTTTGTTAGAGGAGTCGCTCCATCGTCGGCGATATTCATCATGGCCGACACTTGCGCGCAGTTTTGCGCGTAATTCGAGGAGAGTTCAAGGTCAATCAATGCGGGCGTGGAAAACATGAACGTTAAAACACGCCGATTGTTATCTGGTCTAATCCAGTTCAGGTATTATCTCGTCCCATCACACGTGTTTTGGCGGATTGGCGTCGGCCATGATGAGTATTGCCGACGATGGAACGACTCCTCTTACAAAATGTTCACCTGTGCCGTAGTATCGCTTTTGAAGCGGGAAGCTCAAAAAACCGCAAATTTCTTACGCAGACTGTGAAGTTATGAGTGCATTTCAGACTTTGCCGATGCGCTCATCGTGATTTTTGAGGCATTATCTATAAGAAACAACTCTTATTTTTGCTCTAGCAAAAGTTTGCAACAGGCCCATTAAAGCTTCACAATAAAAAGTTGTAACATGATGTATGCTCGACGTTCCGCGAGATCGATTTTAATGTCAGGTCATTGAAACTCTGAACGTAAACGAAAAAACTACCAAATGCACCAAAAAACGTCCACTTTACTGTCGTGCTAAGGAAGAACGACGTATAAGCCAACAGGCGTTGTCAAATTTCCTTAAAAAAATCACGAAATTCAAGGAAAATTCGTGAATATTTCCCTTTGCTCTAGTTTCGTCGCTTCACTGGCGTAAGGGCGTATCTCGATTTCCGCAGGAGCCCCAGAAAGCATGCATTTACATATACAACAGGGCTCACGTCACGTGGAAATTGAGATACGCCCTTACATTCGAAGGGCGACAATTGGATCTATAAAGTCTGAAAATTTCAAGGAAAAATACTCACAACTTTCTTCAAAAATAAATCTTTCCTAATGGGAAATTTGGCAGGATTCGAATGCTCGTACGCCGTTTTTACTTAGCATGGCATTTTAGAGGTAAACTGTCGTATCTACCTCTGCATAGCTAACGTATTTTTGTCGTGTTCTTGGCCTGAGAAGTTCAAAAATCGTAAGCGTACACAGGTGCTGCTAAGATCATCGAACTGTCCTCTAATTTAGAGGAGGAAAGTGTCTCGAGAATGAAAATTTTTGTCAAAAAAATAGAGGGAAAATTCAGGGAAAATTTTCTAATGAAATACATATGAAGCAATCGCAAATGATTCTCCTACGACGAGGAGCACCATGCAGAATCATAGCAGCACCTGTTGGTGCTGTTGAATGATTGAATTTAAGATATTTTTTTTCTTTCTTACGCAGATCCAGTCATAACGGAGAATGTGATAATGGGAGTGATCGCGTCCTTCCTATCAGCTGGCTTAGAACCGGTGTCAGCCACGGTGACTTTCTGCGCGTACGAATTAGCCCACCATCCCGAGGTCCAGGAGAAACTCTTCAAAGAAATTCAGGCGGTCAGAAAAGAATCCAGTGGGGAGATCAAGTATGACGATCTCAAGAGGCTTCATTATCTGGACCAGGTCGTTAACGGTGAGAAATGATTTGGATTTTTGACGAGGAAACCAGCTTGGCACAGCTCGATATATGTATTGCGGAGCTTATTTCACCCTTTCAAGTACATATCAAATGATTTTGGACGCAAATGGTTTTTTTTTTTTACAAAATTATGCAGTGTTATAACTTCACCGAACACTTTGCGCCGAAAATCAGGCTTTGGCGCACAAAACATAAAGGGCGCTGCGCCGAAGTGGCGTTTGCAAAATGTCTCCAGCTTCGATTTTTTTTTCGTTTTTTTTAATAAGAGCCTCTTGGGCTCCCGAAAAATTATACGACCATCTAAAAATTTTCATCTAAAAAAAAAGCGAGGGTAAAAAAATGAGTAGTTTGTTTCAAAATGAGACAATGCATATAATCTCTTTTTCAATAATGTACCTGTAATTACTGATAATTACATGATACATGATAATAAATAATAATTACGACATTTTGTAAAATACAATACAATTACATCAAATTTTCTTTATTCACCTAGAAACTCTGAGAAAATATCCTATTGCTCCGATCTTGGGCAGAAAGTGTACAGAGGCCTTCCAAATTCCTGACTCGAAACTTGTGCTGGAGAAAGGCATCAATTTGATAATCAGTACGATGAGTCTCCATCACGATCCAAAATATTTCCCTGAGCCCGAAAAATTCGACCCTGAACGGTTCTCGGAAGAAAACGTTAACAAAATCATTCCCGGATCGTACTTGCCGTTTGGAGATGGACCTAGATTTTGCATCGGTAAGGCACCAAATTTGTGAATAAAATTAATATTTTTTTCATTTTCAGCATATGGAAGGGAGAGTTAGAAGCGCAGTATTCAGAAAAAAACAGTGACCCATTAAGTGACAAAGAATATACAGAGGGGGCTCTTAACTTTCACAAGCCAATTCCAAGTACTGTAATACAAATAAAGGGGGTTTGCGGCATGAAGGAAAGTGCCCTAAATGTTAAACATTTTCCAACAAATATGTATGTTTCTTCCATCTATTTCCTGGGAGGCCAGAAGGTCATAATGTCACATTTGCTTCGATTTTTCTGACAAACAGTGAAAGAAGGCACTTCTTAAAATTTGAGTAGTGCAATTAGCACGCGCTTACACCCATAACCATATTATATCGCATGTCATATCATGTCTCACAGGAATCTGGAGAGTTATTTGCCGTTCTCTCGTGCAAGTTTAGGTTTGAACGACAATTAAGGGGAAATTCCTGTTTGACGTGAAAAGAACAGGCTCTTATTGGAGGAGGCAATTGAATTGAAGCACATCCTCACCGAAAAAGTACCGATAACGGATTACAGAATTCTCCATGACAACACTTCAAAGGAGTTTTGTAGTGGGTGAATTGAAAAAACAAAGCCGCAAATTGTAGCTCAAGTACCTCCATACTACTCCACTGCTATAAATAGCAACTCGGGTTCATCACGCAATCGATGATTCAGGCTCGAGCAGTTTTAAAACCACGCCACCCGTTTCTTTGACTTCTTACCGATGATTTTCCAGAGAACTTGTCGGATCTCTAGACTCTCTAGATCTCCAAGACTCTAGATTTTGCAACTCATCGAGATTCGTTCCATAATTATTAAGCGCAATGTTTATTTGCATGGCTCTGTGTTGCAGCGATGCGTTTGGCTTTGATGGACGTCAAAACAATGATCATAACTTTGGTTTCGGACTACACACTTCACACTTGCCCCAAGACTGTGAAGCGCATTGAGATAGACAGACATTTATTCACTTTGGCCCCGAAAGGTCAAGTGCAACTTCGACTTAAAAAGAGGAGCTGAACATGACCATGAGATGTCATTCTTCTTTCCAGCGGGCTGATTAGTGAAATTCATAGAAAAAGCTATAGACAAAGGAGACAAAAGGGAAATGAATCGATTCTATTGGTTGAAGCTGGTGGTTGCAGTGGACAAAGGAGGTAACTAATAGACAAACTAACGGCAACCCACGAGACACCCTACAGTTAGTTCATCGTATTCCCCCTTAGTCTTTAACAACCACCTGTTTTTACCAATAGGATCGCTCCAATGCTATACGTCCTATTTGTCTATGGCTTTATCCATCAATTTTAATAATCAGCCCGTAACATTCTTTTCAGGCCGAGGCTTCTTTTACTTACGAGTGTCAAGTTTAAGATATTTAGCTTTATTTTACATGAAAAAGTTATTTTTATCACTAAATTAAAGCATGCATAATAATTCTTGATTTGGTTCATCCCTTGATATTTTCTACCACCTTCCAAATTTGTTCTTTTTTTGAAAAACCCTGAAACTCAGCCAGAGGTGTTGATGGTCATAATTGCTAAGGTATACCACTTTAGAGTAAACGAATTTTACCACAAACGCTGCTACTTAATTTTTCCTGATTTCGATAGAAAAATTCCTTCATGAAAATTTGGGATTCCCTCTCGTTTTCTTCGAAATTCTAAGAGAAATAAAGCACATATTCTGCAGAGAGAAAATTTCAATGAATTTGCTTCGTATCGTGCATGAAATTCACTGAAATTTGCACAAAAGTCTGCACAACCGTTTTCAAGTCAACAATTAAATTGCTCAAATAAATTTGGAAATAGCTGATATGGCTTGGTTCCTTGTTGCTAAACGCAGTCCATTTTCTCTTAACATTTTCAAATAATTCACATTTAAATTAAAATAAAATTGTTTGTAAACTGTAGGGAAAATATTCACAGATTCCTCAGAAAATTTGTACTTTTTCAAAAAAAATCCGGCAACGTCCGAAGGCTTGTACGACGTTCTTCCTTAGCAGGGAGCTTTCTTTAAGCCGGCGTGTTAGCCGGATTGCTTCTCGACGGTTCGAAGGCGCCGCCGGATTCCAGAACCGCGGCCCCGGACGCGACCTCTAAGGTGTTCCTTTTCTCATTAGTCGAGGCCCGCCTAAGCCGATTACGGGCGGCGCGGGCGGGCGATCCGCCCGGGTTGGGCGGCTCCGCGGCGGGAAGCCGAACGCGGCCGATCCGAACGGCATTAGACGTTAATTTGGATGCAAATCTTAATTTGTCAACGGATCGGTGAAAACAAAAGTAATTAGTGGTGCTCCGATACGCGGTGCGCGATACGCTCCGCCTCATCGGCCGGCTCGACCCCCCCCCCCCCCCNGGGGGGGGGGGCAGATCGTTCATCCATTAAATATTTACCTTCCGAAGAGCCGTGTCTCGATGACTGCGGGAAAATCCAAACGAAAATGAACGCGATACGGATGGAGGTGCGTGGGAGGGGGGAAGTGTTGGTAAAGGGAGGAAGGGGGAACGGCGAGGCGGAGGAAGAAAGTGGAAAAAAGAGGAAAGTATCCGAGAGGCATACGGTGACAATCCTAAAAAATAGTCGTGAACCCGTGTTGCCGTTCGGGTGCACGGGAAAGAAAGTCTCTCGGATCCGGAGTTCTGACTTTTTAGAAAAACACGAAAAAGTGCTCTCGATTTGATCGGATTTTTGCCTCAATGAAAAGGAGCAAAACTCCGATTGAATCAAGTCCATTTTTTTTGGTCAAACTTTTTGAGAGCCTGGACTCTTGACACAATGGAATTTTTCTCCCAGTGTATAATAAATAGGTTGCAGGCAGATCAGTTGCATTTGCGGGTGAATTCGGAGGCTTTCTCGACGCAATAGTACAACCGTGACCGATTTGAACTTTCCGAAAAGTTTAGATGGAGAAAAAAAAACACATATAGTAATAGAATTTAAAATTGTTGGTTTTTTCTTTTTCAAAATTCCATGGCAAGTATCAGATTCCAGTTATTTCCTGGTTCTATTTTTTCTTTGCTCGGGTTCCTTAATCGTTACGTATCGGAAGACACAAAATTCGTCTAAATTTCACGGAATCGACGAGTAGATCTGCTGAAACAGATTCTCCTCGGCCCTAATCCCTGAAAATTGGAGAAGCCTGGAGCGTGGAGATCCCACGAAGTCTACGGACACTAAACATTGTCTAAAGTTGGTTGAAGGTGCTAAACACGAAGCCATTAAACCAACAGAAAAAAAAGACACAAAATTTCAATTGAAAAACGGTCTCAAAATCGCTGCTTGTACTCCTAGCTCCCAACCGGCAACACAACATCGAAGCAACGAAAGAAACAGAAAAAAAAACCGTGTGC